GTGTAAAAGTTTTTTGTGTGTAAAAGCTTCTCTGTGTAAAAGCTTGCTGTGTGTAAAAGCTTCTTCGTGTAAAAGCTTGCGGTGTGTAAAAGCTTCTCTGTGTGAAAGTTTTCTGTGTGTAAAAGGTAGCTTTGTGTAAAAGCTTTCCTGCCTAAAAGCATCTGTGTGTAAAAGCTTCTCTGTGTAAAAGCTCCTGTGTGCTGAAGTTTGTTGTGTGTGAAAGCGTCTGTGTGCAAAAAGCTTCTCTGTGCAAAAGCATCTGTGTGTAAAAGCTTCTGCTTGTAAAAGCTCCTCTGTGTAAAAGCGTGCTGTGTGGAAAAGCTTGCTGTGTGTAAAAGCTTCTCTGTGTGGAAGCCTCTGCATGTCAAAGCTTCTTTTTGGCGCAGGTCTTGGGCCAGAGAGGAGCCGAGATGATCTGAGAGTGCGCTGAAAAGAGCTGAGAAGAGGTGACAAGAGCTGAGCTTAGCTGAGAAGATGCGAAAAAAGCCTAGAAGATGTGAGAAGAGGAGAGAAGAGATGAGAAGACGTAAGATGAGCTGACATGAGCTGCGGAGAGCTGAGAGGAGTTGAGAAGAGCTGTGAAAATCTGAGAAGAGCTGAGACCAGCTGAGATGAGATGGCATGAGTTGAGACGACCTGACAGGAGAAGCGTGGTGCAGCTCTGAGAAGAGCTGAGCTAAGACGAGCTGCGTAGAATGGAGAAGCTGAGAAGAGCTGACAAGAGAAGAGTTCAGATGAGCTTAGAAGAGATGAGAAAAGTTTAGAGGTGACATGAGAAGAGATCAGAACAGATGTGATCAGCTGAGACAAGCTGCGCAAGGAAGAGAAGACATGAGATGGGATGAGATGAGATGAGGTGAGAAAAGTTGAGAAGACATGAGATGAGATCAGATGAGATGAGATGGGATGACATGGACTGCGGTGACAATGGGATGCAATGAGCAGGTTCCAAGAACAGCCGCGATGCGGTGAGATCAGATCAAAGACATGGGACTGCAGCGGCAAGTCAAGAGATGGCACTGCCAGCAATCTAGAGGCACAGCTTTTGTTCCGCTCTATAGGGTATAACTTCCGCCCCCGGCTTGCCCGGGAACTACTTGTATGTTTTGAGCGCTTTTTGATGTTGTTTTGTTTTTTGTTGTTTTTTGTTTTAATTTGGTGATTGTTTTGTTTTTCATTTTTGTATTTGTTTATGCTTGTTTTTTTTGGCATGTTTTCTGTTTTTTTTTTTTGTTTCTTTGTTTTGTTTTTTGTTGTTTTTCCCCAGGCAGTGTGTCCACACTAAGGGTTTCTTACGGTAAGAGTAACGCCTGCTTCGTTGAATCACGGACTTTGGGGCGCGGCTTTTTCGTCGACCCTCTCGCATAAAGTGGCTCTTGTTGAACGTCCATGTGCATTTCGAGTGCGCAGGCTCGTGCAAAGTGACCGGGGCCGTTTTGGAACTGCGCATTTTCGTCGGCCCTCTCGCACAAAAGTTTTCTTCTGACATGTCTATGTGCATTTCGACTGCGCAGGCTCGCACGAAATTGGGTCTGCGCCGGGTCTATTCCGCGGGATCTCGTTTTACAAGCATGCCGTGGTCGTTTTTGGAGCTATGTCCATTTCGCGTGGCAGGCGTGGGGCACCCGTGCCATTTGGAGGCCCCAAACGTTTCCAAACGTCGTTTTGCGCGACAGGTGCGGGACATCGGGCGCTTGTGCAAAAACGTGGAAGGCCTGCGGCTTTTGGCAGGTTGCTAAAACGTTGGCGTGGGTCAAAATGAGACGCGCTTTCGGATCTCATTTTTCGTGGCAGGCGCAGTATTTGGTGAATTTTGATGACACGGTCCAAAATCGCGTTTTGTGAAACCGTCGTCGAATTTGACTCGTTTTTCGTGGCAGGCACAGTACTCCGTGGACCTCGACAAAGTGCCCAAAACCTAGGTAAAACGTCGTTTTTGACGTTTTCCATCTTCATTTTTCGTTTTGCGCGCAGCTTGGGATGCAACCTTTTCGCACGAAATGAAGGTCCAACGGCATACAATGCGGTAAAATTGCGATTTCACAACTTGGGATGCAACCTTTTCGCGCAAAATGAAGGTCCAACGGCATACAATGCGGTAAAATTGCGGTTTCACAACTTGGGATGCAACCTTTTCGCGCAAAATGAAGGTCCAACGGCAAAAACTTGTGTAAAATTGCGATTTTGCAACTTGTGTGTAAAAGCTTTTGTGTGTAGAAGCTGTGTGTAAAAGCCTCTGTGTGTAAAAGTTTCTGTGTGTAACAAGGTCGTCTGTGTAAAGACTTCTCTGTGTAAAAGCTTCGTGTAAAAGCTTCTGTGTCTAAAAGCATCTATGTGTAGAAGCATCTGTGTGTAAAAGCTTCTGTGTGTAGAAGCTTCTGTGTGTAAAAGCTTCTGTTTGACAGAAGCTTCTTTGTGTAAAAGCTTCTGTGTGTAAAAGCTCGTGGGTGTAAAAGCTTCTGTGTCTAAAAGCTTCTGTGTGTAGAAGCATCTGTGTGTAAAAGCTTCTGTGTATAAAGGCATCTGTGTGTAAAACCTTCTGTGTGTAAGAGTTTCTGTGTGTAAAAACCCTTGTGTGTGTAGGTCTGTCTTGCATCCGAGGCGGGATTGTTCTGTCTTGTTTGTTCTGTAGCACAGTGTTTCTCTTCGCATCCGAAACGCATCCGAGGCGGGGCCGTCGCATTCGGCATCCGTAACATATCCGAGGCGTGATTGTTCTGTCGTGTCTGGTCACTGTGTTGTCCTGTCTTGTGTCTTGTCTGCCACATGTCCATGCCAGTTGCACAGTGATCCTTGTCGCATCCGAGTCGCATCCTAGGCAGGGCCGTCCTTATCGCAGCCGCGTCGCATCCCAGGCGGCGTCGTCCTGTCTTGTGTCTGTCTCGTCTGCCACCGTTGTTCCGTCCATGATATCTGCGAAGATTGAATGCACTGTCTGTCATCTGCTCATGTCAGTTGCCTCGTGTTCCTTATCGCATCTGAGTCGCATCCTAGGCGGGGCCGTCCTGTCTTGTGTCTTGTCTGCCACCTGCATGCAAGGCGGTCTTGTCTAGATTTTGCCTCCGAGGCAGGGCCGTTTTGTCTTGTGCCCTGACTGCCACAAACACATGTCAGTCGTGCAGTGTTCCTTCTCCAAAACGGGGTTGTCCGGTCTTGTCTTGTTTCCTCGTATCTTGCTATCATCTAGCTTACAACCAAGAACTTGGTCCGTCCCTGTGCAATAAATCCTACTTGTATTTACGTAGCAAAGTGCCCCAGCCGATTCTCCTTTGCTGATCTCGTTCGCTTGGCTTGATCATCTCAACGATCCTTTGGTTGAACGCGACGCGTCACTGAAACCATGCAACCTATTCACCTGAAATCTCTTGCTTGTGGCGGTGATACACAACATATCCTACATCAAGTAAGCCAGTAAACCCAGTTTTGCGCACCATTCTTGCTTTTCTTGTCCCATGTTCCTTTAGAAGTCTCCTTCTCAAAAAGTTCCGAGAATGAACTTTGAATGGTAGATGTTGGATTCCAGTTTTTTTAATTCCATTTTCCTTTCAAACGTTCCTCTAAAAAATCACGAAAAATGAATTTTGGATGGGTAGATGTAGAGGAATGGGCACAACGCACCACAAATACACACTTAATCCCATGCATCCTTTTGAAAGTTCAGTTATACCGATGGCTCTAGAGTATATTCTATCTATAGGTTTGTGCACCTGTCCTGGCACAGCGCTGGTGAGAATTAACTTTGGATGGTAGATCTTGGATTCTTGCGTTTCTTGTCCCATGTTCCTTTCAAAGTTTCCTTCTCAAAAAGTTCCAGGAATGAGCTTTAGATGGGTCGATGTTGGATTCCAGCTCAAAAAGTTCCGAGAATGAACTTTGAATGGTAGATGTTGGATTCCAGCTTTTCTTATTCTGTTTTCCTTTCAAATGGTCCTTTCAATAATCACTGATCACCCAAAAATGAATTTCGGATGGGTAGATGTAGAGGAATGGGCAGGACGCACCACAGATACACACTTAATCCCAAGCATCCTTTTCAGAATTCGGTTGTATCCATGGCTCTAGAGTATATTCTATCTATAGTTTTGTGCACCTGTCTTCCCACTTTTCTTGTCCCATGTTCCTTTCAAAGTTTCCTCCTCAAAAAGCTCCAAGAATGAACTTTGGAGGGTAAGATCTTGGATTCCCACTTTTCTTGTCCCATGTGCCTTTAAAAGTTTCCTTCTCAAAAAGTTCCGAGAATGAACTTTGGATGGTAGATGTTGGATTCTTGCTTTTCTTGTCCCATGCTCCTTATAAAGTTTCCTCCTCAAAAAGTTCCAAGAATGATCTTTGGATGGTAGATGTTGGATTCCAGCTTTTCTTATTCTGTTTTCCTTTCAAATGGTCCTTTCAATAATCACTGATCACCCAAAAATGAATTTCGGATGGGTAGATGTAGAGGAATGGGCAGGACGCACCACAAAAACACACTTAATCCCATGCATCCTTTTGAAAGTTCAGTTATACCGATGGCTCTAGAGTATATTCTATCTATAGGTTTGTGCACCTGTCCTGGCACAGCGCTGGTGAGAATTAACTTTGGATGGTAGATCTTGGATTCTTGCTTTCCTTTTTTTGGAAGATTTTGGGTTGAAATGGGCATGTCAGAACGAAATCCACCAGCAAAATAACACCTATTTGTGATTTTGTGTTCGTTTCAAAAGCCCAAACACGCAATCGGGAACCAAATCACAACCTAAATGACCCTTTTGTGCTCATTCTAGAGGCCAATTTTTTTGGGAATATTTTTATTGGAATATTTTGAATGTGAACGACCCGGATTTTTGAGCCATTTTCGGATTCTATCTAGGGGTCTTTTTTGAAAACTCAGAGATTCCAACTACTTTAGGATTATTATATATGATGAACCTCCCCTAAAACCACCTACATGATGAAATTCAGCAGCTCGTGGTCAGAAGTCTTGAAAAGACGATGGTTGACACACACGTTCTCATGGCAAGGCATTACGCACCGTGAAGAGCTGCGTGGGCACAAGCTGGTGCCGCTATGGCCAGCAGGATTCTGTCACCATGGCTGTGACTTTGGAGAATCGCTACAAAGGTCTTCGCGCGCCTCACAAGATCAAGATGGCTGCTTCCGGATGCTTGCGTGAGTGTGCAGAGGCTCAGGGAAAAGACGTGGGCGTCATCGCCACGCAGGCTGGCTACAATCTCTATGTGTGTGGCAATGGTGGGGCCAAGCCAGTGCACGCTAAGCTTTTGGCCACAGACTGCTCAGTCGAGGAGTGCCTGAAATATGTCGATCGATTCTTGATGTACTACATTTCTACAGCCAAGCACCTGCAGCGCACAGCACCTTGGCTGGCTGAACTTGAAGGTGGCATTGATTACTTGAAGAAGGTTGTCATCGAGGATTCTCTGGGCATAGCTGCTGATTTGGAGCAAATGATGGAACGCAACCGAGCCAACGAAAAATGTGAATGGAAGGCAGTGGCATATGATGAGGAGTTGCGCCAGAAATTCCAACAGTTTGCGAACACCAAAGAGATTCATGACTCAGAACAGATTGAATACATTGACATGCGAGGCCAGCGCCATCCCAACCTTTACAGTCCACCAGACATCACTGGCCCAGCACTATACAGAAAAGAGGACAGCCACTCGAGTGACTGGGAGTGGATCTTTGCAGGACTGGTCAGCGCCTACCCCAAAAATGGTGGGCTCAGTGTGAAGCATGGCATGCAGGAACTGGCAGTGTTCCACCTTCCAAGCGCAGAACCAAAGGAACAGTGGTTGGCGACGCAGAATCTATGCCCCCACAAGCAGGCTCGGACTATTTCGCGCGGCCTTGTGGGAGTGCAGCCCAACGGGACATTGACCGTGGCAGACCCCATCTACAAGACCACCTATAACCTTGTGACCGGTGAGGGCATTAGCAACCCGAACTTCAACCTTTCAACTTTCAAGACGAAGGTGGAGGATGGCAAGGTTTTTGTGCAGGTTCCTCCCTGCAGTGAGATGGAAGAGAAAATGGAGAAGATGATCCAAGAGTCCTTCAAAGCTGACGGGAGAGAATACTTGGCAAAGAAGACAGGTGGACCTGTGGACCACATGGGTCAATGCTTGTCAAAGCAAAAGGACTTGTCATGGTGATTCATTCCTTGCCATGCGCTGATTCATGTGATGACTTGATGTTTTGTATTTTGATGCCTTGCATTCATGGTGCAAAAAGCGCCCAGATTAGCTGGAGGTTAGTCTGGTGAGGCTTGCTTGCTCTTATCACTAGGCAGAATGAACATATCAACACCTTGGAGGACGGGTATAGAAATGTAGGACGCGCCAACCAGTACGTTTCATGTCACCGGGTCAACAGGAGAACTTTTTAGCTCTTGTATTCTCGAGATTTGGTTTGTTTTGAAGGATTGCCTTGTCAATGTCAAGCAAGCAGCAAGATGTTTTCCACAACTCCACAACTAATTGTGGGAGCTGTTTCGTTGCTGCTGTTGCCAAGAGATGGCACCGATGAGAGAATTTTCGCGGATGAGCCTTGCATGGAGTGCAGGACCGCGAAATCATTCGAAGTCAACAGTGCTTCGAACCAATAGGTACTCACAGGAATGCAAAAAAAGTGCTCAGGAGCTGCTGATTGAATCTAAAGGTCAGTGCTTTGATCTCTCGACTTCTCGCAATAGTCAATCAATAGAAAGACCCGGCCGCCTTCCCACCGCGTCCACCTCCTCCTGCCTCCTCCCGCCATCACACACAAACTTGTCACATTGTCACATACCGACTTTTCGCATGCCAACTTATCACATACTAACTTGTCATCACATACTGACTTTTCGCATGCCAACTTATCACATACTAACTTGTCATCACATACCGACTTTTCGCATGCCAACTTATCTCATACCAACTTGTCATCACATACCGACTTTTCGCATGCCAACTGATCACATACTAACTTGTCATCACATGGGGGCCGATCGCAAATGCAAGTCTAAGAATTATGAATGGGTATGTATATCTTGACATCCGCGATTGTAAAACGCTGCATCGCGATTGCTCGGCGATTGGTTTGCGATTGATGCAGTCATCTACTGTGTATATGGGAGAAAATCATATATATTATATGTAATTGGAATGCTGTGCACAGATGATGTTCAATTCATTGCACTTTACAGCTTCGCTCTCTCGGCCTTATGGCTCAAGTTACTAACGCTCTGGTTCATGGAAAAGGCGCGTGCTGCCCGGCGGCTGGGTCGAGGAGAACAAGAAGGAAACGACCCCAAACGAGTACAAGCACAGGAGCTGGACCACAGCCCATTCACAGGTTATCAGCCGTATGCTCACGCTGAGCGTACGGTGGTCCCACGTAATCTTCTACCTCATCGGCATCCTGGTCCTCCTGCCCTACTACAAGTCGTGAGCTTGGAGCAAACGGAGGTGGACTGACAACAAGAAGATGTCGCAGAAGAACCAGTCGAGCAGCAACGACACAAGTGTTTCCTTCGGAGCGAATGCTGCTCCGGCCCAGGCAATCAATGACACGCATGGATCCCAAGAGAGCGGCGGCGGCACGATGTCTTACCGTGCAGCTGGAAGTATAGCATCAACAAGCAGCTTCACAGTGGTCAATCAAGCTGACGTAGTTCGAGGAGGAAGTGCCAGAAGAGCAACATCGGCAAGATCACCTCGCGCTGCAAGATCTCGCATTGCAGAAGACGGCGGTGGCCGAAGCCCGTCGGGCGCGGCCACGCGGGAGGATGAGGCAGGTAAGTCTACCACCTCATCCAAACGCAAGCCATCGACCAGCGCTACGAGGAATGAGAGCGAGGCACGTCTTCGACGTCAACTACAACACAACACCGAGAAGCTGGAGAGGAGCGAACGGGCAAGGACTGAACTGGAAAACAGACTAAGTCTCTATCAGGATGTTCTTGCACACCGTGATCAGATGATTAACAACATGGAGATCTATTCACATCAACATCATGAGGAATATCAAGAACATGTCAACTCCGAGATGGAATTCATGAGAGTTTCCCTCATCGACGCACACCATGTACTTGAAGAGCAAACGATCGCACTAGCCGAGGCGCATCTCCTGGACGAAGGTTCAACAATGAGGATCATCGAGCTGGAGAAGCGTGGTCAACTCGCTGAAGCAGGTGCGGCACACATTGTTCGGGAAAGTATTGAGATGAGGGGAAAGTATCTCACTGAACTAGAGAACGCATCACAACTCATTCGTCAACAACATGACACATCTGAAGCTATGACAGTTCACTTTCGTCAAGATGGGCTACAACTGCGTGAAGCATGTGCACAGTATGTTCAAGACAGGGAGAATGCGAGCAAGGAAGAAATGGAGCAATTGAAACTGAAACTATCAGAGCAATCACACATGATGGCTGACAACAATGAGATGATCATGGAATATGGCCAACAAGCTGTTGCAGTACGTGATGAACAGTTGGTAGAGATGCAATCAACTATCGACGATAAAAAAATAAGAAGGAAAAAATACACAAAAACATACACACAAAACTAAACCAACCCACCCCCTCCAACAAACACCACCACCCTGCACCTCACTCCCCCCCACCCACCCCCAGTGGGCGGCCCCCCCAACCCATCGCCACCACCACCCCTCCCGCCCCAACTACCCCCAATGTCTACACCTCCGCCCAACCCGACGAACTGACTGCCAGTTTGTCGCACAAGGACAACCTCATTGCTATCAGGGATGACGCGAATCGTGATCACATTGTGAAGGTTCGTGACATGAAGAACATGATTCGGGAGAGAGAGGAGGAGTACAACCGGAAGCACAACGAGCTCGAGGTGGAGATCAGAAGCCTCATGAGAATGAATGAGAACGAGAGTGCTACCCGGGAATGGTATACAAATCGATTCATTGATGAGAAGAATGAGTTCCGCCAGTTCAAGCATGATGAACTTAGTGCATTCAAGGACAGGGAAATCACCATTGAGCGCGTCAAGGACGAACTCATGGATGAGAACATGGCTTTGATCGAGTCCACCAACCAGTTGAGAACACGAGTTGCTGAACTGAATGAAGAACTACGTGAGGAACTTCGCAAAGCCAACATGGAGATCAGTCGACTTCAAGAAGCAGTGGAAAGCAATCCAAAGCTCACTGAGGCACTCATCGACGCCGAAGAGGCAGAAGCAGATAGGTACAAGAAGCTCTATCAATCGGCCTGTTCTGAACGCGACCATGTGATCAGGAAGAATGACTCATTGAAGCAATCACTCCACGATGCAAGACTGACAATGAGTACGGTGCCAGCTTCATGGAGTAGAGTATCGACCAGAGCCACAGTACCAGCTTCACCATCAGCGGTGCCTCCAACGACCTTAGTTTCGAGGACGACTGCACTTACTGGCAAAACTCCATCATTTGCAGTATCGATTTCAACTCCTATGGGACGCCCAAAGCATCTTCTACGACGAAGAATCATGATCCTGCTCTACCACCACCACTATCACCTAGCATGAACAATGCCATCAACAACCAGACCAACAGTGAGATCGATGATCTTCGTGAGAAGCTCCGTCGGTCTGAAGAACGAGCTCAACAGAACTATGACGAGATGAAAGAATACCAGAGTTGGCTGGAACAAGTTGAAGAAGGGCAAGAATCTTTGAAAGACAACAGAGCCCCTGAGTTCGAACCCGTTCCTGACAATCCTCCTGGACTATGGGAACGGAAAAGATGGCAAAGATGCTAGTGTTGCAAGCAGTGATGCTGGTCAAGACGGCAAAGATTGGGTAACTAGGATATCCAGGAAAGAGCACGAGAAGGTCACTGTCAAGCCATGGCCTAAATGCCAAGATCTTGATGTTTGGCGTTCCAACGTCGTGCAGGCCGTATGTGTTGCATCAGGTGATCCAGACACGGCTGCATGGAGAAGGTGGCTATCCCCTGCTCTATTACCCAGTCCTGATTATGCTGAACTTGCCGATTCAGGAGAATTCCGTTTCCAGTCCATTGACTCCAAGTTGTCCATTGCCTTGCAGAACATGGTAGACTCCGCTGGTGAGACGGCATCGGAGGTCAAGGTTCGGATTAGACAGAGGAGCCAAGTCCTGGGAAAAGAAGGGAATTTCCTGATGGGCAGGGAGATCTTGGCAATGGTATTAGATCATTTCAGAACAACGTCGAAAGATGAAGTATTGTTCAATGCCAGCCACATCTATAAGTTACAGTATCGTGGCGACAAAGAGATGGATAAGTTCCTCCATGCTTGGATTGAGATTATCGCCAACATGAAGGCTGAAGACATTCCATCCGACAACACACTGCGTGATCATCTGCTGAGGAAGATTGATGGTTCCCAGGCATTACACGTCGACCTCACGATCTTCAAGGGCAGGGACAATGATGACAAGAAGAAGTCATACGGTGAACTCTTGGAGATAATGAGGAGGCACATAGCCCGTGCACGCGAAGATCGCAATATCGCGGCCAGGGACCACAAGTTTGTCCACTGCTACCCATCACCTACGCCGAAAGATGGTAAGACCGGAAAGCCGAGCGCTCCTGCACCCAAAGGTAAGCCTGGAGCTCCTGTACTACCTTCCGGCAATCCTAAGAGCCATGGCAAGGGGAAAGGCAAAGGTGGAAAAAGATCGAGATCACCTTCCACAAGAGACACATCGAAGACCTTTTGTCACTTCCACTTCAACAAGGGCAATTGCAAGCATGGTGACAAGTGCCAATACAGTCACTCCCAATATCATTGGGACAAGAGGAAGGACAAAGGTGGCAAAGGTAAGAACAGCAGATCGGCTACTCCAAGAAGATTGCAGACCCCTGGTGGAAAGAAGGATCGACATTGCTATGGTTGGTTAAAGGGCGATTGTCAGAAGGGAGACAAATGTACCTTCAAGCATGATCCAAGCATGAAGGGCAAGAGGGCGGCGCCTTCTACGAAGACGCCCGACGCCAAAGCTACTCCGGCATTGATCCGTGAGTACGATGATGACTTCATCGTGAACGCAGTGCCTGTCGAGAAGAAGAACAAGATGGATGTCAAGTTCAATGACAAGGTGGAAACCATCGTGTATGTGAAGCCTGACTTTGTGGAATGTTCCAACAGGAAGCCAAAGAGAAACATGTCCAGAGCTCAGAAGAAATCATTGACGTGCAGAACTACCAAAGAAATCATGGATGACCAACAATGGGTATTACAATCCAAGTTGGGAATGACAAGAGCACGTGCAATTGGCATACTGATGGACGACTATGGTGAATTCTCTGATGTCGACGAAGTACACATCATCCTGGGACCCAAGAATGATATCAAACTCAAGATCAACGACATTGATTTCTTGGAGAACAACTCACGAGCTGAGATATGCTATGAGGAAGTGATTCCTCATGTCCCAGGACAATATGGTCGTCGTGGCAATGTCATGTGCATCACTATGCCGATCGAGCTCAAGGACCGACGTTTCATCATGGACTCTGGCAGCGGTCATGACCTTATCTCATCTACTAGAGTGGATAGGATGGACATTGACACCTACCAGAGCGACCGTGTTAACTTCCACACTGCAAATGGCATCACATCAACAACTACGATGGTGGATTTGGATTTCGACACGTTCAATGATCCTGCAAGGGCTCATGTGTTGGAGGATGCCCCATCTGTTTTGTCATTGGGAAAACGATGCATGGAGCAAGGCTACACCTTTGTATGGCCTAGCGGAAGAGAACCCTACATGATCAACTCTGAGGGTGGCAAGATCAAGATGGAAGTTCATGATCTCATCCCATATGTCTACCTTGGAGCCAAGGACTACAGGCCATCGTCAGACTACGAGGCCGAGTTAGTGATGAAAGTGTTGGGTCTCAGTGGCAACAACCATGCATCAAGGACAATCTATCTTGATGGTGAAAGTGGTGATGAAATGTCCGAATCAGATGATGGAGTTGGTACGTACGTCGACGGACCAACGAAGTCTCTGAGGAAGACGAGAAAGAAGAAGCGTTCCAAACGAAAGACGACTCCGGCAGCGGCTGGTGAAGAACTCGATGATGATGATGACTATGAACAGTCCATCCGCGAAGAGGATCCAGAAGATGATGAAGTTCACGTTAATGAAGTTCCTGGTGCGGATGAAGACAAGGAAGATGATGATGATCGAGTACCAGCAGCTGATGATGTTCCAGGAGTCGATCAATCCGATGAAGATGAAATTGGTGTTGAACATGGACCACCTGAAGAAGAAGATGATGAGGATGATATCGATGTTGACGATCCTGATGGAGGAGTACGTCTATCGAAGAGAGGTACGTTGAAACATGAAGCTCGTACTCTTGAACATCTTCTGACACATCGATACAAGAACCCATACTGCAATTCTTGCGTAAGGGCCAAGATGAAGCATCACAAAACCTACAGAGGTGCATTTCGCCGAAAGCTCACAAAGTTCGGCGACCTCATCACCTTCGACTTCATGGATACTCGCAAGACGACCAAGTTGGGCTACGACACGGTCAAAGAGATTCTTGTCATTCGAGATAGGTATACCGGCATCATTCAGAGCTACCCTTCTCCAACCAAGAACACTGAAGATGTTGTGAGAGCGGTCAAGTACTTCATGGGAAGACGAACAATCAGGGAAGCCTACTCCGACAAAGCCAGACAGTTTGTCAAGGGCATGGAGGCTCTCAAGATTCCCTTTGATCATGCCCTGCCGGGAAGACCTTCGACAAATTCTCTTGCCGAGCGCAACAACCAGTTCGTCATTGCAACTACTACCACGTGCTTACTCGAGGCTGGACTACCAGCGTGTTTCTGGAAGTTTGCCATACGATGTGTATGTCATCTACTCAATGTGGAACCTGGCGAAGACGATGTGAGTGCTTGGTGTAAGCTCCATGGCGCCGAGTTCAAGGGCGACAAGATCCCATTTGGTGCATTGGTTTACTTCAAACCGAGTGGAGCCCGGGCCAATGAACAAGCTCACAAGTTTGATCCCAAGGGCATCCCTGGTGTCTTTGCAGGCTATGAAATAGCCCCAGGCGTCAATTGGCGAAGGCAATATATGGCATGGGCCTTGTCTGATATGACGAAGCAGAACTATTCGTTCAATGCTAAGACAATCATTGACAAGCTACGCCATCCACATCTCACTGAGAAGATCGAAGTGCACTTGCCATTGACGTTCCCATGCAAGGACATCTACGAGAAGGTGAACACCACGTTGGAAGGGTTAGCAGTGAAAGATCGTCTTGAAGGATCACCAGACTTCCTTGAAGATCAGCAAGACGATGATGATGATGATGATGATGATGATGGAGACGACGATGATGAAGGCGATGGTGATGACAAACCTAAGAAAGGTAAGATCACCAATCAAGTTGAACGTCAGGAAGAAGAGTTCCACCGCCTTATGGAGGAAATGGACATCAAACTCGACAAAGAGAAAGCTGACGATGCAGAAGTTGTTGATGGTCCTCCTCTACCTCCTCCTGATGGTGAACCTCCTTATGATGGGCCTGAACACCACTCTATGGGCAAACCTGGTGACGGCATCATCTACCTCAGCGACATTGGCGAGCACGTCAAGCTCGACAAGCGTGGACGACCGTATCGTGTTGGTCCAGATGGTCGCAAAGAAGTACGAGGGTCACCAAGGCCAAAGAGCAGTTACAGCCCTGAAGAATGGAGAGCACTATCTGCTAAGGAGAGGGATGTCATCATTCGTCGTGGAAAACTTGAAGAAGAAGCTGAGAAGCTCAAGGAGATCAAGTTGAAGAAGGAGAAAGACAAGAAGGCCAAGGCCGAAATCTCCGAGAAGAAGAAACATGATTCAAGTTCCTCCAAAGATCCAGCCAAAGATGAAAGTCGAAAGAAGAAGAAAAAGGATAATAAGAAGTCAAAGGAAAGCTCAGGCAAAGATGGTGGCAAGGACGGTGCTGTCGGTGTGGGGACGCTCCGAGGAGAGTGGGAACGTATATCTACGCCCCACAATCCGATGACGAGACCGATCCACAAACGAGGTCGCAACCCATGGGAACGTTCGTCGACGCCCCATGGAGCGAGTGATCTCGACGACATCAAGAAGCGCAATGCCACATCTCCTTCAGCACCCAGTGAAACGAGCACGAACGTCCCAAGTGATGATGATGGTCAAGAGTTCTTGAATGAGTGGGACGAATGGTCTGAACATGAAGTTGGAATTGGACCAAGAGCCCACTGGGAAGATGTTCACTATGACTTCAATACCGGGAAAGTCACAGCACCTGCTAATGTTGCACCAGCGACTCCTACCTCAATAGACTCCAACGGCAAGTCCAAGGTCAACCACTTCGTGAGTTCAGTTCCTTGTATGCCTTGTGTTCATCAAGACCTTGAACATCGTGAGAAGTTCGGTCAAACTGGTGTGAGGTTTGGGAAGTTGTTCAATGCGATGGTCTCACGTCCTGTTGGTCGTAAAGAGATGATGGAAGACCCGGACGCCAAGGCTTCTATGAGGAATGAGTGGTTGGGACAGCATAAGCAGGGAGTGTATGACTTCTCCGTTATTCGTGAATACGATGATGTTGTGGCAGAAGCAAAACGTGAAAGAAAAGAAGTCCATATGGCACGAGTTCACGGCATTTGTGTCGAAAAGAACTATCAGCTACCAAAGGGGAGCCCTGGACGCAAGTTCAAAGGAAGAGGCGTTCTTCTTGGCAATCAAGTTAAGAACCAGCACTGGGAAGCCGCGTTCTTTCAGGACCTCGGCAACTCTCCAGCGACATTTGAAGCCTCTCGATGGGCAGATTTCTATGGTTGCATCCCCGGTCACAATGTGAAGTTAGCAGATGCTATTCAAGCATATATTCAAGCGAGGCTCACGGGACCTCCTTGTTGGGTCGAACTCCCTGAAGATGCATGGCCGGACGACGTTGACATCCGGAAGTTCAGAAGACCGGTAGTGCGACTTGTCAAAGCACTTTATGGTCCTCCTGATGCGGGCACGATGTGGGAACAACATTGTGACAAACATGTCCGTGAAGTTGGTTTTATGCCAGTAGGGGAGGAATGGCCATCAATGTATTTCCATAAGGAACTCAAACTTTTGTCAGTCATCTACGTGGATGATCTAAAGTTAGCTGGGCCAGCGCAGAACCTCACCAAAGGTTGGGAAATGTTAAGGTCTAAGCTGCACATAGAACCAGAGACTGATCTGGGTCTTTATCTTGGTTGTTTGCTAAGCAAAGGGACCAATCGCCTTCATGATGGCACAGAGGTCACAACTATGACCTAAAATATGGAGGGTCTTTTGAAGCTCTCTGTTGAAAGGTATCTTGAACTTGTTGGGAAGGATACCAAATTAAAACAGGTCTCAACGCCTAGTCTCCCTGAAGAGACAAAACAACATAAGTCTCGAGCACCAGCACCTGGGGACCCTAAGCATGCAGTTCAATGTCCTTGGTGTTCTACAAAATTTGATCCTAGATCGTCGGTTGCCTTACAGCCCGATGCCTCCGATTTCCGGCCGGAATCTGTTGAAGTCCAACGAGGTGCACTTGCCCCTCATGCTGCTAGCATCTTGATGAAGCTTCTATATGCAGCAAGGATCGCCCGTTTTGATTTGTTGAGATCGATCAATACATTAGCACGCAATGTGACAAAATGGTCCATACAAGATGATGCAAAACTATACCATCTTATGTGCTATGTCAACTCTACCTTAGGGAAGAGAATGATTGGATGGGTCGGCAATGATATGAAAGATCTATCCATTGCGTTATATGCAGATGCTGACTTTGCGGGATGTGCACAATCTTTGAGGTCCACATCAGGTTCTCATATGCATATTCAGGGGAAACGTACTCGGTTTCCGTTAGCTGGTGGAAGCAAACGCCAGGGGTGTGTGAGCCATTCTACACCTGAAGCTGAGATCGTAGCCGCTGATGTAACCCTTCGAACAATGGGTCTTCCTGCGCTCAGTATTTGGGAAACGCTTACAGAATCATCTCCCAAGCTGTTGTTTCATGATGACAACCAAGGGATGATTGGTGTGGTTCGTTCTGGAAGGAATCCAACAATGCGGCATCTGGAAAGGACTCATGGAATTTCTATTACGTCGTTACATGAGCATTTCAGCAAAGATCACTTTGTTCTCATGTATGAGATCACAGCGAAGATGGCCGCGGACATCCACACAAAAGGGTTTACAAACCCACTTGCCTGGAAAAAGGCATGTATGTTGATCAATCTTTTGGAACCCGAAGACCTTGGTTCGAAGCAATTGGCAGACCTAGTGCAGCCCACTACGGATGTTGACACTACAGTTCGTCAAGTTTTTCAGTCAAGGACAGATGAGGTTCCCAATTTTCCATATACTGAAACACCCATACTGCCACCTGAGGTGTACCGTAAGGGTCTTTCAAGTCGAGAAAAGCTTCAAGAGCTACCTGGTATGGATCCTATCTTTGCGGTCAAAACCCCTACATTGTTCAGAACAAGACCAGCTGGTGTCAAACTTCCTGCAGATTGCCTTCGGAGCACCTGGATCTTAGTCCACGGGAAGTGGGAACGAGTTGAGGATCGTGTTCCCCCATTGTTACAACAATCACGTTTTGACAAATGGATTGCAAGGGCATGTTTTCAATATCACTATCCCACTTCCGCTCCGATTGTCTCACTGCCCGCATGTGCGTCGACGGCGGCCAGAGAACAGTTCTCACGTGCGGCGACGTTTGAACTGGACAATCATCCGAGCCTCACATTCAGTACTGAAATTCTCTTTGAACAAGCTCAACGTCCTCAGAAGATTCCGTTTTCGTTATATGAAGGGAATCCCATGACTATACGGGTGATCAATGCCCTAGTACGCCTTGTTCATGGGGGGAGAGGCATGGAGGATTCAAAGTCGTCAAGTTTCAAAATAAAGTTAACAAAATCGCCAATGCGGAGAAGAAACATCAAGAAAGTAGCATCAGCAACTGAATGTGGTCATGATGAAGTTCCTGTTCGTGATGAATGGAGATGGATAGGTGATCATATTCTGGAAAGGATCCACAATATACCAAGAAGAGAAATGTTCGTTCCAAGTGATTGTGAAGATTGTCCTTGTGATCATCGTTTGATTCAAGATTGGAGAGAAACTCAATCGAAGTTCCAGTCGAATGTGAGGGTGGACAAAAGTAATTGGCGTCTCCCTGGTGATAATGGAGAAAGGTCAAACAATCGAAATGAATTCTGGACTGGAAAGTCTATCTTTCGTGTTTTGAGACATCAGGAGGTTCTTCCGATTGCGAGTTGCATTATGGATGATAATCTGATGGCTTGTGTTAACACCATGGGTCTGGACATCATTTCACCGAGCAAGATATTTATTCCCCACACATATCGGATGATGATCGAAGAGAACAAGAATGACAATGAGTTGAATATATTTGCGGACAGTCTGATCAATTTATTATTGGTTCGTGACAATGGGCAATGCATGAAGTATACGTTCGTCAGATCTATTCCCGATCTCGAGAGTACAAAATACTTGGGGAAGAACGTCACTATTACATTGCAAGAGTTGCCCGAAAGTACACCCGCTATGATATTGATGTGTGCGGAGCCTTCAAGTTTGATGACAAAGAGATACAGTACAATTATGGATACATCTACTCATCTGGAATTGATCACGGAGGATGATGACCTTCTCTCCAGATATGGGAGTGCGAAGTGGAGGAGATGCCTCCGCAGTAACAAGGATTGCGTCTTCTTCGCTGGACCTTGCACAGGCGGATCTCCATGGAACAGGCTGAACAAAAGAGTTAGTTGGTTTACTGCTCACTTGATCAACGCCAAAGCACGTCTATACTGGAAGTTATGGGAAGAGTTTTCGAATTGTCTTCTGAAAGTGATCGAGTTGGATGCCATGGCACTATTGGAATTACCAAGAGGTTGCGACTATTGGCATGATGAACGGATGAAGTGCATGATTGAAGGCACAGAATCACATATCCATGACTTTGACGGATGCATGTATGGTCTGAAGACACAGTTTGATGATCGTCATATTCCTATTAAGAAGCCATGGAGGATTGTATCGTGGGGGGTCAAATTTGATTTACACAAGAAGTGTGACCGAAGACATGATCATGGGAAGTGTGAAGGTCGTGAAACAAGGATCACTCAGACCTACACCCGGCAAATCGTCGACATCATCTTGAAAACGATATGTCGAAATGTGTCTATTCGGTTCAAGAAGTCGTTGTCGAATGGAGATGACACATGCAGCAGTTGCGTGCATGATAGACGTTCCATCAAGAAGACAGCGGTATCAGTTGCATACAACAGTGATGAAGTTGCAGCAGATCTCATGTGGTTGATGATGTTTCACAAGAGTAGATGTCGGATCAATGTTGACCCTGATTTCTCAGGACATCAAACTACGGGAAGTCAATCTTGCAAGACTTTTGCGGCTTCTCACTCATCGTGTGCCACCGGACGAGTGATCGGAAACCGGATCGGACGTCGCCGACCGGGAGTACGTGACCTCAAAAGGGCTCACTCGCTGCGCACCGCCGAACAGGGGATTGGAAACCGGATCGGACGTCGCCGACCGGGAGTACGTGAACCGATCGGTAAGGTTGCCATGTCGAACTACTCGCAGATCGTTGGTTCTGCGCAACATGATCTCAACGACATCAGCAAAATCCTCATCACGTTGAGAGAGAATGGCAGACAAGGTGCCATCCCAGCCATGTACAAGGAGTATGACCCGACCATCAACAGCCAGCCTGACGTTACGGTCAACAAGTGGCATGCGATAGGAATTAGTCCGATCGCGGCGACTTCAGCCTGCTACTTGGGTAAGGTGCCATCGAACCGGGTGAACCAATCTGTCCCTGCTGAGGACACGTGGTTGAGTGCAACAAGGAAGAAGGACGGAGTCCTCAATCCGTCCGACCCTGATGCGCCCATCACCATCTCGTTCAGGGCAATCCATCGAGAACTCCATTACTTCGACATGGGCACGTCATGG